AAACTCAAGTTTTTTGGTTCTTTGCTCTTGGTGTAAATCGAACACATTTGTGGAGTCGTTTAAATATGTTGGATTTTAAATATATTGGATTTTAAACTGTCATACAATTTTTTCTTCGATAGTCTGTAATTGGAACCATAACTCTTATTTATTCAAATTGTATTAATATGTAAATACCAAATGTAACATATATCATCGTTAAATCTTATCTTATAAAACCAGTGGAACTTCATAATCGTTAAAATTCATGGCTCCCGCCGCATTGCGCGGGTACACAACTAGTTTATTTATAATTGATAGTAATGAATAATAATTAATATTAACGAGTGTTATAATTGAAAAAAGTGACAATAAGCTAACAAAACATTACTTCAAGTAGCATTCCAATAAACTAGCTTATAAGTTGTTATTTTTTGTGTGCATCCAAATATATACCCATAAAATAAACTATATTATTTTTGCAAAACAAATGCCTTGACATTAAAAACGTGTCAGCTTCAGTATAAGTTGTATTATATGGAATAGCATTATGAAGGATGTTATGCAAGGATCCTTCATGAAACATGTACTATAGTCAACATGCTACTCCACGAAGGATGTTCTGAGTGATGTTGACTACAGTATCTGTTATAAGTTGTTTCATATGTGAAGACATAATTCTAATTATGGTTTATACGGTAATCAATTTGTGAGAAGAACAAAAATAGTATGGTTTACACGGTTTATAGTATTTAGATAGTTTGCAAAGAGGCATATATATATATATATATATATATATATATATAACAAGAATCTCGTAACAATTATGCTAATCATGCGTGCATTCAACTCGAACACGAGCACTCATGAGCTCATTTGTGACCTCGTATGGTGAAGGAGTTAACTTGATAACTGTACATCGGTCAAGATCAAAGGCATCCCTTTTGATACATGTCTTTGACTCTTTGCATTAACTGTGTTATCACGCCTTTTCGCTATCGTTGCCCCAAAACTAAGCCTCATACACATCCAACCAAATTTCCCTTGCATAACATCCTTCATGGAACCTGTACTATAGTCAACATGCTTAAAGCGTTCATACTAACATAGTGCTCATTTAATTATCGTAGAACATATATGAAAAATTATAAACATGGGTACATCCCAGTTTAGAGAATCTCACAAGAACTCTAACTGACTTGAGTGTATGTTAGATTGTCCTAGCTTGCTTGCAACATACACATATCATACATGTACCAATGTACTTGTATCATCAATGGAACACTTGTGCTGCTTTGACTTTGCCATTTCATATTGAACAGAAGTTGTCTTGTCAACTCGAGCGCACATTCCAACTCGCTTATATCTTTGCAAGGTTAGTTCAGTCTGCTTACAATAATTATTAACCATTTTGAGTAAAGATAATGAATTTAAACAATTGACAACAATTCAAATGTGTTTTATGAATTGTACTTCCCTTCTTTCCTGCATTTTCCCCCCAAATTCATAAATATAGTGTTAGGTGGCGTATGTTTTTTTAAGTGATGTTGAAGTCTGAAGTCTTATTTTCCTTTTACTTTATAAAAGATGGTGTTGAAATATGAAATTTGAATCAATAAGATTGTTTGTTCTGCAAACTGATAAAGTGTTTAAAATGTCTATATTTTACTCATTAGAAAAAAACTATGGTGTTGAATTTATGGATAAATTAAACAATTTCGCATATTTATTCATCATCATTTCACGGTATTTAACACATTTAAAATCTATTAAAATACATTAATTGAGAGAAGTGATGATCGATTTGGTAAGGATCGATTTAAAGAAATGAACGATTAAAGATAGTCGATTGAGAAACGTCGTTACTAAGGATGTGAAGAACAATAAGAGGCAAATAAGAGGTTGATTTACCTTTTACCAGCTAAGAGGATAGTAAGATATAACTGCGCCTGAAAATTTGGGAAAAAACAAACAGTTTGACCTATCTCTTAACGAATTAAACATAAAATGCTGATAAGAGTTTTTTTTTGTTTTTTTTTTAAACAAACAAGGTCTTAGACTTTTCCAATGTTCCATGAAAATGCATAATCATTCCCTCTGCTTTATACTTGGCATATCCCTGCCAGTAACATCGTCCAGTCTATCCGTTAAGAGAGGTAACGTCCCCCGAAGGATATTTTAGTTATTTTGTAGGTGCAATGTGACACGACATCCACAAAAAATTAATCATTCTTCATCTTTAAACATGTAAAACCATAAACATTCTAAGAACATTCACCAAACATTCAATAACATCTATAAATCCTTGCATTTTTTTACCTGTAATTCAAATCAAAACATTGTGAGCATACAACAAATCTTTCGATTTCGTTCGACTTCATTTATTACAGATCTTTCCATATTGTGGGAACTTGTTATCGAATTGGTCCCTCGGCCTTATAGGCATTGAATGTCTTCGTGTCCCTAGTGCATCTAATTTGAAAACGTTTTGGTCAATTTCGCTTTTTTAAATATGATGTATCATAACTTATGTTACATCATATTTAATAAGTGATATTTAGAAAAAAGTTCAAGAACATGAAAAATGTCACTGGCCAATTGTACTGGAGTTATTAGTAGAATCCCACATCTATGAAGATCAAAGAATTTATCTGAAAGGTAGTATGCATTAAAAACATGCAAAAATACAAAGGTCATTGCCTCTCGAAACAAACAACTCCGAGGTGCAGTAAAAGAGGGGGAGGGGGGAGGGGGGAGGGACAGACGAAAAAACCATGGCGAAAGACAACCAGGACGAAAAGAACAGCACAAACCACACCCAATACACAGACACGATGCAGAGGTTAAATACCACGAAAGAATTACGATGACAATGACAAAAGATTTGGCTTATCAATCCATGATCCCCACTGTATGGATCCATTCGTTAATTTCCTCGAAATCCATTCAAAAACTCCAACTTGCATCTTCGTGAACGAAGATTCAGCAGTGGATGATTTGGAACACAATGTTGTTTTCGTTGAATCCAAATGAAGCAGGAAGATCAAAAATTTAAATCTCAATAAATATAAGAAAGGTGAATCAATACTTTTTATCGTATATAAATTTTATATATTCCAACAAAAAAATATAAAAGGGGACAAAGGAAATACAAAAAATATGAGTTTTATGTATTACTTTTAAACAATACATCAAACATTTGGATTTAGGGGCTCTTTATCGAATGCTTATCGGATAAGAGTCACCATCATCACTTATCTTCTGGATAACATTGCCGACCATAATTAATTGACGACAAATATTTATAACTGAGTCAGTATTTATCAGATAAAAATCATCTAAGAGTTTATAGTTATGTTTAGTCATACAATTTCTTTGATAGTATTTTGATTTATATTATATAGAGTTCCAACTTGGTCTGTCCTTACACCTTCACTCCCCATTTGCTATTCATATCATATCACTCCCTGAACATGACCACACCATAACCTGAACCCGCCGCACTCGCACCACTACCTGACACCTGTCAGAATTATTACCCTTAGGCTATTCCTGTCTTTTTACCCTCTCCCATGAGGGTATAACCGTCAACCCACCAAATTTCACACCTCACACCCCACTTCCATAAGACGTTTTCATTTAGCCCCTTCACAGTTCAATAATTACCAAACATCCCCTTCTAAATAAAAAATTACACAACTTACCAGTTCTCTAATCTCATTCAAGAAATAATTTTATACCCAAAATATATTTGTCACGTATACTCATCAAAATTGAATTTTTTGTTTAATTAATTAATTGATTATGCATAAAAAAAATCATTTTTGTGTTAAAATTTTAGAAGATGGTTTGATTGTGTAATAAAGGTGAAGTGTAGGGAGTGTAAGTAAAGATTGCTTACATGCAAAGCATAACTGCCACGTGTAGTCAAGTCGTGGCGACGCAGTGCAGGAACGGAAGCGGCGACGTGGCCCCCACTTGCCTTCCATTCTCACGAACCCTGCAACAAAAACGGCCGTACAACCATAAAAACGGGGACTCCTGGTCCCACACCCCCACCACCTCAATTCCCTCTATCTATCTACAACAAAATTCCTATGATTTGTTATTAATCATACAAATCTTGTTTATCAGTTTTATTTTTATTCTTTTCCGGAATTTATGTATTTAATTTTTAATTTTATTTCTATTTATTTCATAATAAATATCCATTTTTGAAAAATAAAGGTTTAGCTTTTTATGCTACTTTTAATTATAAAAGGAAAAAATCAGTTTATTTCCTTTATTATTAAGGTAAAATTATTATTTTACTTTTTTCCTTTATTATTAAGATAAAATTATTATTTTATTTTTATTAAAAGTATAATAATTTAATCTAGAATTTAATTGTAAAATAATATCCAAAAAGTAAAGAAATAAAAAAACGGATACCATTTGGTAATCTCACATGCAAGTAGGGTGACCATTCACATAGTAGGACCCATGTACAGCACCCACCCGACCCGTATATCCAATGGCCTTTAACCTGCATACAATACCCTCAGCAAAAGCAAAAAAAGAGAGGGAAAACTCTATTGTTCCCCCACTTTCTCTTCTAGGCGCGTGCTCTTCACTCACCACTCTTCTCCATATTTATATACCCCCCCAACACTCACTACCTCCCCCATTAAATATCTCTGCAAATCTTCAATATCTCGACGGACGGCGTGAACCCCATAATTAACCCCCCTTTTAAGAACCAGCGAAATCCGTGCTTCAGTCACTTGCTTATTTATTTCGTTTTCATAAAATCTTCCATGGCGCAAGAGTTGGCCGATGGCGAGTTTTGGCTGCCGCCGGAGTTCCTTAACGACGAAGACATACTCATGGACTTCTTGCCGGGAAAACCCAACTCCGGTACTCGTTCCAAACAGGGTTCTTCTGGATTTTATGGTTTTGGGTCAAACGGACCAAACTCGGATCTGAGTTCTCCGGTGGAGTCTGTTATGGGTTCTACCGAGACAGAGAGCGATGAAGAAGATTATCTCGGCGGTTTGACCCGAAAGTTTGCTGGTACCACTCTTCAAGAAGATTTCTGGAGATCAGATGCCAGTTTGAACTTCGAAAACCACCTCTCTAAGGTATCGTTTTCACCCTTTTTTGGGGGATTTTTTTTTTTTGTATATTATTCCGTTCATCGTGATTTTTAATTTGGGATAATTTGTGTGCTAAAATAGTCGACAAGGGTGATGGCTGGCTCGCCACAATCGACACTGTGTGGTTGTAAACAGGGTGGTTCAAGCAGGGGAAGCCCTAATTGCTCTTCACCGCCAGCCACGGCGGCGCCCGTAAAACGCAACGACCCTTCTTTAGATCTCCTACACGCTGCCGCCGGTGAAGTTGCTCGGATGAGGATGGTTGAAGAAGCCGCTGCGAGGTATTACAACGCAAACAAAAATTTCTTAGCCGCACAACCACCTCGAAGAACACCAAGCCATAGCCTCCATTATCAACAACTTCAAGTTGCTCAAGTGAGTGAGAGTGACCCACAATTTGTTTTCACGAAAACTACCGATTTCGAAATAAACCCGCTGACATTTTGTTCTCATTTTCTGTTTGTAGTTTCAGCAGTTGAGACAGCAACAAATGGCGAAGCAACAGCAGTATCTTGAAATGATACAGCAGCACAGAGCAAGAAGTGAAGGTGGGAACGGCCGGCCGGTGGTGGCTCCGCCGTTATCTGCTTGGCCTACTCCACAACAATCGCAACAGCAACCACAGACCCGACCACCTGGGTCGGGTATGCGAGCTGTGTTCCTCGGAAACCCTAACACCAAACGAGAATCCACCGGTACTGGTGTTTTCTTGCCTCGCCACATTGGAGCCCCGACTGAACCCTTAAAGAAAAGAGGTCTGTTCTTTCTGTACTCTTTTTTTAATTCCAATTGGATTTTAGTAAAATTTATTTAAAAAAAATTGTTTCTAGATCTGACATCTTTGGGTATTTTTTGGTTGAATCTGTTCAGGATGTTCGACTGTTCTTCTTCCAGATAGAGTTGTGCAGGCTCTAAACCTAAACCTGGAAGCCATGGAAGCTGAATCTAAGCTTCAATCTCGTTGCAATGGCGGCCCACTTGCTCCTGATTACGGTACCTTTCAGAATCTTTCGAGTTATTTCACCAGTACCCTTTGGTAGATGTTTGCTTAAATTAGAAGTTTGTTAAACGTTTCAGATGCTGAAATGATTTACCGGAGCAGTGTTCTGATGGCCCAACAGAGGCGAAACAACCACCGGCAACAAGCGGCGGAGTTCCGATTACCTCAAGAATGGACGTATTGAAGATTAGGGATTTTAGGAACATAATATAATAGTAGTAGTAGTAGTAGTAGTATAGAGGAAGACGACGAAGAAGGAAGAATTGAAGATGGGTTTTGGTTTGTTTGAATGAATAAAGGAATTGTTGGTGGCAAAATGCTCCGTTTTGGGTTAGAAGGAGGATTTGTGTTGGGATTTGTTTCAGAAAAATAAGGGTTTTTAGGGTTAGAAGAAGAAGTAGTAGAAACAGTCCCTTTTAACGTACAAGTTTTTAATGCAGCAGAGAGGGGTTACTCTTTGGTTTTTGGATATGGGCTACTGCTACTGCTTTTGCTTTTATTTTGGTGATTTTTATTTTCGTTTTGCTTCCGAAAGTTTGTAGGAATGACAATTCCAGCCCCTTGCAACATTTTATAATAAGATAACTATAAATTTGCTCTCTTTAAATTGTTGTGTTTACTCTGATTTTGTTTGATAAAACTGTATTTTAATTGTTCATTGGGTGTTAAACTTGTATCAAGTTAAACCAATCAATTCTCGGTACCGATCATATCAATTTGATTGGTACCAGTTTAGTTGGTATACAACGATCTACATTTTGTTGTTTGTACTTAAATGCTTACCTGTGTAAGTGTTTACCAACTCACTTAACTTTACGGGATGAATATGTTAAAGAATTAAAAGTCTTATTTGGTAAGAGTGAAGGCAAGAATCAAGAGTCTTATCCGAACTTTACCGGATGAATATGTTAAGGATTAAAAATCTTATCCGGTAAGAGTGAAGGCAAGAATCGAGTCTTATCCGGTATGTGAGGATGAAAACCCTTACCATGGTTGGCGCTTACCGGGATAAATTGTTGCATACGATGTGTTTTAGCGATTAAAATCTTACCTGATAAGTAAGCGATAATGTTGAATTTGACCGGTAAGTGTGTAGTTAAACGGCACTCAGTAACTCATCTATACCTATATTGTTCATTGTTGCTCCGTAATGGATGTTTGTATTAGACCATTAGTGAATATTTGTACTGTATGAAAGTTATTTGAGTGTTTGTTTAGATAGAGATAAGTGGTGCAACGTTCATATTTATTTGAATACTCAATGTTTTAGGGGCCGTTTATTAAACACTTACTTGGTAAGTGTTTACCGGATATATTTTCCTATTGGATGAACATGAGAAGGGTCAAGAATCTTACCGAGTAAGAGCACTGAAAAGGATAGAGAGTCTTATCCGGTAAGTAAGGATGACGACTCTTACTCAGGTAAGCATTTACCCATTAACTTGTTGCATTCGATATGTTTTAATGTACTAAAATCTTGCGTATCAAAATATAATGTTGAATCCTATCAGTAAACACTTATCGGGTAAGCATTTAGATAAACGGTCATTTAATGTATCTAGACGTAGTTGATAACAAGTATTAATAAAAGTAAATTTTGTAACTTCAATCATTTGCAATGTTAAAGCTTATTTTATATATTCCACACGATTATTAAAATATTTTGTTTAGATTTATAGCTTACTGGGCAATAATATCGCACGAAACGACGACGTTGGATTATGTCCAATATTGTTGTCTTGATTGTTCAACTACCAAATCTACCTCGTTTAGTTTTGTATATCTATTTCAACTACTAATTTAAACATATTTTAATATCAATTTTAAATAATAAGCTATCAATGTATGGTATAAATTGTTAATGCATTTTTCATATCCAAGAGACTTTTATTCCTTACAAGAATTGGACTGTGGACGTTAATTAACTTAGGAGAGGAGTGTATGGGGTCCAGTTTGGACGGTTCAACCCTAAAACCACAAAACAAAATGTATGGTGGTTTAATTTTTTTTCCCAAAGTGATTTTCTGGACATGAAATGATCAAACCGGTCAAACAAGATCACAAAAGACAGTCTAGTCTAACTGGTAGAAGTTATGTGTATTAAAGAAATTTTACATCGGAGTAAAACATCTATCTCCAAAATTAGAAAACAAATTGAGCAAGTTGAAGAAAACAAATTGAGCAAGGGTAAAGATCTTTTTTTACGCTTCTTATCATAACTTTCTTTCTTTCTGGAACTCAACCCTGAAATTCAATTCCTTCGCTTATGTCAACGAAGGATTGAAGTATATAATATTTATGTACGACAAATGTAACAAATAAACTCACACACCCTCCTCATCTTTGGTGATATTTGAACCTCTTACATCCTAGGAGGCCAAAGACTACGATACCGCTGGACAAAAGCCCTTTGGTAGGAATGCTGAATTCATTAACTTGTGGAATTCAAAGGAATTCAAAAAATTTAATTCATTTCAATATGTGAACCAAACAAATGCATTGGTATTTGATCAAATGAGTTGATAATTCCAATTCTTTAGAAATTCTTTGAAATTCTACGAACCAAACAACACCTTAATGTCTTGGATGAATTTTTTTATTGCACCATAAAAGATAAGCTTACAACATGAAAATAAAATATAATTAATTCATAATTTCATATGTATTTTGACGACCGGTTCAGCCCAAACCGCTAAAAAACATTCTGACCGCATACTGGACCGGACCGAGCGGTCTAGCTATTTTCAGATTCGACCAGGCCGCTAGACCGTTCAAACTTTCAAAAAAGGTCCCACTTATCTTCGTTCAACTTGTTTGAGCGGTTCGATTGTTTTTTAAACACCCCTAAGTCCTGCTTCAACATTTCAATGTAGTGGGAATTTTTTTAGGATCCTTAAAGGTGCATCTGGTTTGTTTTAGTGTGCCTTTATATTTCTTGAAACTACACTAGGGACAAAAATTTGCGGTTGATTGTTTGTGGATGAGAGTGAGTATATTTCGTGAAGACCTGCCAACCATCATCACTATTCTCGTGGTCACAACTATCATCACTCCCCACCCCTACCCAAACCCTACCCCCACCACTCCTGCCCCACCCTGCTCTATAGGTTGGGGTTACTGGGGGGCAAGCAGGGTGGGGCCAAAGTGAGGCAGTGGGTGGTAAGGTGGTAGCTGTGAAGACTACAGTACTTAGTGGTGGGACGGGGTGGGACGGTAGGTGGATGGTGATGAAATTCAGTTCCTTCTATTATGACAAGGAATGATGAGTTCATTAATTTGTGGAATTCAATGGAATTTGAAGGACTCCTTCCATTTCAAGAAAAATGAACCGAACAAAGGAATTAAAATTTGGTCAAATAAATTTGTCATTCCAATTGCATCAAATTTCTTTGAATTCCATGAACCAAACGGCCCCTTAAAGCTCATTTGTTCCTTGTGATCACATATACATTTGGGCCTTTTCAAAGTAAAAAGGTGCCTGTAACCTTTCGGGTAACATTTCTTATAACCTATTTACACATTTGGTTGAATATACATCATTTACAGCTCGTTTAAAGGATGTACACGGTTCTAAGACCATAAAACCTCGTTATATCTTTGTGTTGTAGTTGTACTATGTTGACTACTTGCTTTATTTTGTCGTCCAGCCATATATTATTCATTGATTTGTATGGTTTTCATATTTCGCTTGTTGCAGGTACGAAACCTTCTGTGTTTTGACCTAAAAATCTCAACGTATTATAAAAAAATTCGTTTTGAAAAAAATATATAAAAAAAAGGTAATTTTGAAACTGAGAGCCCCCTTCATTTGATTGGTATGAATTCTGGATTAATTATTAAGCTCAATAAAATGGTTGGATTAAAATAAAAGCTTTGTTATATGTGTTTTGGAAGTAGAAGATGCTTTGACGACTTTTTCATTGGTATCCGGCCTCACCGTTTGCTTTCGTATTTGTCTTCGTCCGCATTACCCAAATCAGACAACCAAATAATACACATACACCGTCTTTCAATGTTTCTTTAATCTCTACCCAATTTTTTAAATTAATATTAAACGAATTATTATTTTTCAGTGTTTACTGATATCACTTACCTGACTAATTGAGCATGTTAAGGACCGAGAATCTTACCTGATAGAAGTCATAATTATTTATTTGCGAAAATCGTGTTTGACAAACATTAACATTCGGGAAAAAAGTTAACTTGACGATCTCAACGAGTGAGACCTTTTGTTTTCTTTATGATGATGAACAAGCAAGAGGAAGATGTCATTGAAAAGGACGAAGATCAAGTGCAATTCAGTAAAAACCGCTGACATTGTCGTTGGTTGTGGTTGCCGATGGTTTAGAAAGGTCATTCGATGATACTCGCACAAGGTTTTTCGAAGCATTGACTTCAACTATCGCAGTACAATTTGGTCCTTTGAAACGTAAATGTCACGATTTCATGAAGTAGGTATGTAAAGGTTACAACTTCACGTCTAAGATTCTTGGCGATGGCTACATTTATGTATTCTTATGTTTATAAAGTTGTGGCCCATAAACAATATGCATGTGGGACATTTTGCATACTTTGTTTTGTGTCGTTATACTGTAATCGAGATTCTTTCTACGAAAATAAATATTTGTATTCATTGAGAAAACGATGCAAGTGATTAGAAGACGTATAGAAAGTGTTGCACATAATTAAATCTACGGGTGCAGTGTTGTGCGTTTTCAAATCAGATATTGTGATATAAATATTTTAGAACTGTATAATTAACTGATTTCCTTGATTTATCAACCACCCGTTCTAATCGAAGGCTTGATGGGTTGCCCTATCAACTATCCGTCTTGAAATGCAAGATATGTTTTAGATTTTATTGACCTTTCAATCTTTTCGACATATTAACGGCAAACTCAAGACTTAGTGAGTTGGCTTAACGATTTGACCACCTTGTAGCTTTAAGTTTGTCAAACGAAGTTCACATTTATGACTTATAAGCAATGTAACGAAATATATGGTTTGGTAGTTGTCATGTTATGTACGTTACATAAAAATATACTTTTAGTTCATTAATTTTAATAGACAGTTAATGAGTCAAATGGTAATCATCGGCATAAAATGTCCCTAAATTTTAATCACGATATCTTATTTATATATCTGGAAATTCAGATACCTAACAAGAATTTGTGAGAACTGTGTTAGTAGGCCTTGTTTTGTTTTTTTTGAAAAAAAACCTCTCTTATTAACCTTTTATGTCTGATTTGTTAAGAGATAGAGTCATTCAGACTGTTTGTTGTTTTAATTTTTCAGAGGCACTTAGGGGTTGTTTGTTTACCTCTTAATAGTTCCATTAAGAGATAATCTTTGAATCATTAAGATGTGAATCTTGTTTGGCAAAAAAAAAAAATATGTCTATTAATGGTTCTAAAACCCTCTGAATGATTTTGTATCCTATGTCTCTTTTAACCATTCAACATCTTAATTTCCTTTTAAACAATTACCAAACAATTATATTTCATTTCACACTATATCATAAGTGCATCTTAATCATTCTGACCACTTAATCATTCTGCACCAAATCATTCAGCAATTGACAAACAACTTCTTATATCTTATTGTCCT